GACAAGATGGCTGCCAGTTGGCCATCTTTGATCCAATTGTGAAATAAATCGTCATGGACATGTATCCTAACATGTATAATCTATGTACCAAGTTTGAATGACAACTGACAAAGCATGTCAAAAATACAACATTTTCAAAAAACAAGATGGCTGCCAGTCTGCCATTTTGAATCGAATCGCTAAACCACTGCATGTGCATAAAGTACTAGGCACATGCAAAGAATGAACGGAATCGATCCAAGGGATTCTGAGATACGACTCCGGACGGACGCACAGACGGACGGAGACCGAATTATAAGTCCCCGTTTTCGAACTTCGTCCGAACGGGGACTAAAAAATAATGAATACTAACCTTTTCTTCTTTGGCTTTCTGGGTCTTATAATTATTAAATAACTGTTTTTTTTCATTCAGCTTTGTGAGAGCTCTGCAACAGAAATACAAGAGTTTGTATTTACTGATTATGTAGCATAAGCATAAGTAAAACAGTGTCACTGAACATTCTACATTTCTAACGAAGTCTTAAAAAAAGGCAAAATGCTAGGTTTTTGATTTGGTAGTTCATTTATTTTGTGTAAAAAATGTAAATACCCATTAGCTACTTATTCTATCACAGCTACCACATGATCTTATCTGATTTGTAATTTTTATTGTCAACTCAATGTACCAACTGTCAACCAGCATATTTTCTTGGCTGATAATTAAGTTTTAATGATTGGTTGATTCAATACATCAGTAGTGAGCGTAGATACTTACGTGTATCGTGGATCCATAACAATCATCTTCATGGCTTGTTCCCACGTGGCATTAGAAGGTACTTCCTATACATATCAGATAAAATTGAAGTCATTTCACAGAGAACAATAAATACAAGTACACAAATACAAAACTCAAATATCACTATTTTTACATACCTTTCAGTATTATTGTGACCTAAACAATTTTCCACAATGACATGTCTTGGAATGCCATTTACATGTGCCATATATTAGATTCAACAGTGTTCACCAAATATACAGGTCAGATGTTTTTTGAAGAGAGCGGATAATGACAGACGATTTCCATAGATTCAGTTTGATTCAGTTTAGAATGCCAACAAATCCACCAAATTGTATTCCCCATAGGATTGGTTTGCAATGGACACTCACCACTTCATGTAATTCAGGTAACATATTGAGTTTAAACAAATTCAAAGAAATCCCCCACCCATTTTGTTTTCATACTAAATCAGAGACTACTGTAAAATCTGTATTAGAAGCTGCGTCTTCTATTAAAATGGTACAATGCAACAGAGGGGTTGTGGCTTTTATTAGAGCATATACACATATGAGAAATGGTGAATTTTTGGTTCTCAATTGTTCAAAAAGAATAAGTACGACTTCTATTAGGGATGCGGCTTCTAATACAGATTTAACAATTTAATTTATACAAAGATTTAATTTATACAAGGATTTAATTTATACAAGGATTTAATTTATACAAAGATTTAATTTATACAAGGATTTAATTTATACAAGGATTTAATTTATACAAGGAGTTAATTTATACAAGGAGTTATTTTACAAAATTTTGTTGAATGCATTGCCATAACAAACATGCACAAAGTAGAAGTCGGATGAACAGCACATATACAGTGATGAATTTCAGCATTCACCATCCCAATGTTTTACACAGACAATTACCTTTTCATGGAGTAAATCCTTGAATGCTTTCTTGGCTTCCTCTTTAGTTTTATAAACATACTCCTTCTTCTCTGGAACTTGTTCTTCCGCACTGGATGACAGTAAACATGTTTGATGGTAAATATTTTTCATGAATCTAATCTAATTGAAACTATTATTTACTAATCACATACTACAGAAGAGAGAAAGATATAAACTACAGTTACCTATCTGGATCTTGATCTGCTACTGTAGGTGTATTCTCTGCTGTGCCCACATCACTACCAGTAAATGATGCAGCTACTGGTGTTGATTGTCCTTCCATTTCTTTTTCCAATAGAACACGTACCGGTATCTGAGGTGCAGCAGCTACTGCCACTGGTACAGGTTCTGGTTCAGGCTCTGGTTCAGGTTCCGGCTCTTCAGGTTCTGGAGGCATTTTTCTGCAGGACAAACAAATTTATTATAAGAGGAATTGATATTCTATTTGTAAATGTTAGTTTTTTATACAAATATTTCAACCAACTTACTTGTCTAGGCCTTCTGCTTCTATCTTGGCTAGTTAGTAAAGAAACAAACAAACAAATGTATTAGGTATATTTCCCATTATAGATGGATGTCAATGATAATGACAACATTCTCCTCAACTTTCAAGTAGAGCAGCTAATTTGCAGACGAATACAATTTGCATATGTGTTTTGTGACTGTAGAAATATTGCATTTATTCTGTTAGACATACATTTCCAATAACAAAAATGACAGATGTATCTATAGTCAAAAAATCAAACATAGTGTAAATATAATTGTTGGTGTATGTGCACTTGTAAGCACTTGTCTGTGAAGGATTAAACAATACATTGAATGCTTAACTATTCATTGGGGGTTGATTTAGCACCTTTACATATCAACAACCTAGTTACATGTAATAACTATAACTGTACTAAGAGGACTATTATATGCCAAGAGACACTATTGTAGAACTCATTAGCAAAGATCGCAGATACCTTTCAAATCTTCTAGATCTTTAGGTATAGTCCACTTTGATTCCTTTGTTTGTACATTATGAAAATACACCTTGCCGTTATCTGACTTGTACTCCTTCCATGGACACTGTGATAGTAACAACTAGAATCAAAGAAAGACAAAAATATATTTATTCAATCAGAGGGAATGAATTTCATTTGATTTCAAAGCCAACATTTCTACAAAAGGTTTGACTAATTGAAAACATGAGACACGTACACCATGTTGTGTTTGACATGAGTCCATACACCACATACACACAATGTGTTATATCTGTAGTGCTAACATAGCTTTAAACACTTTGTCATGACTATGGTATTTGTTGCTTTGACTGACTGACAAACAACAATGTTACATTGTAATTTAGACTGATGTCCAACTCCTCTTTGCAAAAGACAGTTACCGTAAGTCAAAACCTCCCACTGTGACATTTTGGGGATTATTTTATTGCATGGGTCAGAATACATACTTTTGTAATGGTGTTATATGTCACCTGATCACCCGAGTGTATTGATATGTAAAAAGTAGTAGTGTAGGAGTAACTGAAAAGTCAAAACCTCGCACTAAACAATGCAAGTCAAAACTATTTTTGATAATTGCACAAAATTCATGATGCAAATCATTTTACTCACAAATAATTACATTAATTGATTAATTCTTTACTATTTACAACAGAATCTATGAAACTCACCTCTGCATGTGTTTTGAGTTCATCTGGTTTCTCCCAAGTTGACTGTTTTGTTCCATTATTATACCAATATATTCTGCCATCTGGGGATTTATGCTCTGTCCACGTTGGCTTCTGAGAAAAATAAAATTATATAAACTACATGAAACTTAAAAATTAAGTCAACAAAAATGTATTAATCAAACGTAAATCATTGTTTGACAAAATACTATGTAGGTGAATAAAACTATCTGACTCTGTAAAATCACATTTCAAGAAAATTCAAGAACATATTTAAGCTGACCATGGTTGTTTTATAATTACCACCATTAATGACCTATTTTGGCAGTGAACAACTTCATAATATTACGTACAGCAATACTACATGTACCAATAATACTCGTTTTCATCCAATTTCAGCCATTAAAGAGGACTGTAGTTGAAGGGCCACTTGGAGCGGGGTCCCTCTACAGTGTTCTCCCCAGAAAATAGCATAGAGCACCGAATAATTTGCATAACACTTTAGTATGGTAATTATCTCTATTGTATTTATTGTTAAGCTGAATTTATTCTATTGTTTATCCAAAATTAAACAGTTGGGAACCCCTACTTTTCAATGTGCTGGAGAGAACCCTGCACTAAATTATCGATATTTAAGCACAATCCCAATTACCCTGTTATGAAACAAAAATGGTATCCTTCGATCCCCAAATTAGAGTTAACACTTCACCTTTTTCTCTGCAGGTTTTGACTGTGTTGGTGTTCCTGGAGAAGTATCACTTGATCCAGCAGTAGTGGCAGACTGTTTCACTGTGGCTACCTGAGGAGACTAAGATAATGAAATTATAATTCAATACTTTTGTTTCTTTGTTATTCTAATGGTACTTTTCAAATTACAGATATTACCCTGGTATACACAGATTCACTTATCATCAGTTACGCTATGGATTGACTTTAATACTGATAAGGAAATGAACATGCAAAACCAATACATCTGAAACAGAATGGACACTATAACAAATGTTACTTACTGGTAACGTCACTTGCATGGATTGCTCCGATGCAGCAACAAAACCTGGGACCTTTGACTTGTTTGCTGTTGTTGTTGTTGTTGGTGCCACTACAATATATTACAAGGATTACAATAAAATACATGTAGTGAGAGCAAGAACGTTAAATACAAAATAAGTACAATAATCATAAAAACTTGATATTGGTAACCTAGGTAACCCCACACATACCTGGAGGCGTAATCTGTGACTGAGGAATTACTCCTTGCTGTGGTGACAGTTTCTTTTTCTCACTAGGTGTAGCGGCAGTCTCGGTTACACCTGATGGCACAATGCCTGTGGGTGGGATCATGGGAGGTGGAAGACCGGGCGGTAGTGGCATTCCTGGGGGAGGTTGGCTGAAGTTCGGTGGAGGTAATGGCATTCCAGGTGGAGGGATTGGCATTCCTGGAGGAGGCTGTGATAAGTTTGGAGGTGGCAAATTTGGGGGAGCTTGACCCATCATAAATCCTGGAGGAAGCCCAGGTGGTGGTTGCATCTGTAAGTGTGAAAAATGAGGAAATGAAATTATAAAGATGTTGGAAAGATTTGAAATGAAAAACAAATTGAAGTGTTGTAAATAAAACAAATGTACTTACTCCTGGAAATGGTGGAGGCATCATCATTGGTGGGATAGGTGGTCCTGGGAAAGCCCCCACAGACTGGCCACCACTCCCAGTACTACTGGGAGCATTTGATGATTGCTGCTGCTAACAAAAAATCTAAGTATTAGTATTGATGCATATCACATGGTATGTTTGTAAAGATACAATAGAATATTTTTATGTTCAAAATTTGCATCAACTTTTGATATGTGTGATTTATATAGTTTAGCTACTAGAAGCATGATATACATTACATTTACATGTGATGTTGTACCACAGGAGTTCCACACAGTCTGATTATTTGTTTAATTAATTTAAATTTGTAGTTGCAGATACATGTACTAGGGAATGAGTTCATTTTGCACGCCACCCCTAACCCTCACCCCCAATTCAATTGTAAATGCCCCCTCTAGATAACTATAGCTGTCTTAAGTAGGGGCATGTACAATTAAATTGTGGATCACTGAGGGAAAGGGATCTATGATTTCCTTGCATTAAACAACATTTCTCTCAGCTAGGGATATAATGTATATAACCCATGAAAACTACAATAAAATGTTACACAGTTGTACATGGCTCGATTTCAAATAAGAATTGATACTAAGCCCGTTCAGAAAACTAACTTCTATAAATATTCGGGTAAAGTGTTAGTGAGAACACATTTTTGGTTGCGTTGTAAGAGTGAGAACTGTCCTAGACGACCTAAACCTACTCTACCAAGGATAGTATCTAATGAATCGACTCATACATAAAGTAACAACTAATAAACGCGTTCACTTGGCACTATGCGTTGGAATTAAAGCTGGGGTACAATTTGAAGTTCCGCAGAACAGCGATCAAAAAACTACGGACATCGATAAATTAAGAATGATTTGCAACATCTAATTAACCCATTTTTCAAATATGCATTGGTAAATTTACCAAAGTGAGTTGATAAATAAAGTCGAAAATCTACAAACAAACAAAATACCCACCATCTTGGAAAGCGGTGCAACTCATGTGCTAATGTTAACATTTTTGATAACTGGGTTCGACAATAAACCAAACACGTGTTTTCGTAATATTTACATAATATTATCTGGAATTTAACTGAAAAATAATAAATGGTGTGTATTAAATTTAAAGATTAAATGTTTGGCTCCCTATTTTGTTTGCATCATTATGCGTTTCGTTCGAATCTTAGACTCTAAAATAATCGCAATGGTTTCTCTTATTGACCGTTGGGTCGCACAGCTCGTTTGTTATGCTTTTGTTACCAGACTATGCTTTTGTATGACATCGTCTAACTGTCGATACTACACTGAGTAAGAGAATTCACACAAAAATATGGTAATATGAGATCAACCGACCGAAAAACTACCAGGAAACGACTGCGATTCAGGGGCGAGCTCACTGACAGAATGAATGGTATACCCGGCGAGCCGCTTTGTTCGCCGATTGTGTTGGAATATATAGAACAGAGCGAGGATGAAGCACCATTGATGTGGGACAATTTGAAAATTAAGAGTTCTCAATATTTTTGCTGCGGCGGGGAATGGTGTCTTTCTATACCTCTAATACTCTACTCGATGTTTTGTTTGATTACATTTATGTATTTAAAACCGCCTTCATCAGGTATACAAAAATAACAATTAATGGATTTGTTATTTATTTACATGTAAATAATGTCATCTGCAACTTCCATAAAACTATCACATCTGCCATTTAACCTCCATTTGATTATATAATTATATTATCAATTATTTATAATTTAGATACATTGTTATGTAATGAATATCCTATTTAGTGTGCGCATCAATCAAACATATTTCTAGAAAACCAAGAATAAAAATTATCTCACCAGATTTTATTTTGTTCCAATCCTTTTAAATCAGGGGCTCACAAATAGAAGTACGCATACAGTAATAAATCAATTAGGAGCAGCAAAACACATCTGAAAGTACAAATAATTACAAAAAGATATTTAAAAAATTACACAAGTCATATGATTTTCTTAGTTCAACAGATTAAACCCCTAATTATTATGTCAAAATAACAATATTGAATTCCCCACAGTGAAATATAGTGCACTAGATCATTACAGTCTGTAGTTGTAGTAATATTATATAATTAATCATCTCAATTAGTAATTGAGTCTACATTAAGGGTAACATTTATAGTAGATATAGATTGAATCACATATTATTTCCTATTTTTTATAGAAAGTTTCCAATGTATTAATTTTGAGGTCACAGAGACAGCAGAAGAATTGAAGATAAGTGTTTATCATATTCTTGGTGAGTAAACTTGTATGGGCAGGTCAGATGTGGAAGTCAATAAAGTTGTATTGTCAGATATACTTTTTTCATAGCCTTTGGCGTAAATAAAGATATCTTTGTCTTCCATATACAAAATACAATAATTACCAGGTTTGCAAGATATTCATCCTATTTTTTTAAAGAAAAATGGCCGACTGGCTGCCATTTGATATTCTTATGGTATCCATACTACTGGTACGGTAGTAGCTTTGTGTTCTTGCGAACGAGAAGACATTAAACTGTTGAACAGCGGACATCGATAAAAGCGAACGTATTTCGAAAGTTGTGAAATCATGGTACTGTTTTGGCATTATACGACTTGCAGCTCCATTTTGATGGATTTTATGTGACTGGCCATGTTATCGAACTGAAGTATTATGTAAATCTGCCCCGGAAAATCTGCAAGCAAATTTTAAATTGCCATTTTCACGCTGCATTTAGCGTGGAGTTGTCATCTAAGTATGCACACTTGTTCGTCTCATGTTCCCCCGTGCATTTAAAAATCCCTTTTGAATTTGGGGGACTTTGTGTGACTGACCGTAGTGTTTGTAAACTTTAGTCGAATTGTAGTAGTGTGTATTAAATCTGCCACAATGTGGAGTTGCCATCGTCTCTCATTTAAGTACGTTTGTGCCTCAACAAGGACTGAAAAGTGATTTCCATTTACTTGGTCTGTTATAAATCAACTGTATTTAGCTTCCTTCAAACTTCCTATTGCCATCGGGATTATGTCTACTACACTCTGCGGTGTAGTTTGTATCGATCTTCTTGTATGAAAGCCCGGGGGGGCTACTTCCATAGAATTGCAATACGGGTATGTGCCGCCCGACTGGGGTGTCATTTCATGTTATTTTGTTTAGAAGTGGGTAGCCATTTATCAATGGTTTGGTTTAGAAATGTGTAGCATTTATTTACTTTTTCACAGATTCTTATATTCAAAGCCAAATACTGGAAAAGGCTGAATAAAATGCATCGCCCGGATGCGCTCACTGGTTGCGAAAGTTGTGAGCTGGGTAGCCGCCCCGGATATGAAAGGCACCCGAACCTGGAAACCGACAGCACGTAATTTCTTACCGTGTTCTTGACCGCAGTACGCTTGGCTATGAACTTCCACATACCCACACTTATGGGAATAGTGCATCTTGGCTAATACTGTATTGATTGAGGTGAAACAAACATGGTTGCCGTAAAGCCTGTTCGACTACATCGCTTGTGTTTCTCTTTCTGTCTTAGAGTTCTCTGTTTTCTTTGATTTTTTTTATTTCAATTAAACAGCGATTTGGCTGTGACCATGCATTTAGTCATTGTCGACTGTTTTTCTCGAATTGGTTGATTGTCATAATAACATACGCTAAGTACAATTAAACGTCCAGAGTTGAACAATTAGTTTTAATGGTTATACTCAGTTACGACTTCCAATTATATTTTCTTAGCCATGTGTTAGTACTTGTGATTCTTGAGAAGCACTTAAGTAATTTCTAACATGATTATTAGTCCCCGTTCGAACGAAGTCCAAAACTAGGACTCATAATTCGGTCTCCGTCCGTGCGTCTGTGCGTCCGTGCATCTGTGCGTTCGTCCGTGGTTGTATCTCAGAATCCCTTTGACCGATTCCGTTCATTCTTTGCATGTGCCTAGTACTTTATGTAGGACATATGCACATGCAGTGGTTTAGTGATTCGATTCAAAATGGCCCACTTGCAGCCATCTTGTTTTTTGAAAATGTTGTATTTTGGACATGCTTTGTCAGTTGTCATTCAAACTTGGTACATAGATTATACATGTTAGGATACATGTCCATGACAATTTTTTTCAAAATCTGGTCAAGGATGGCCGATTGACAGCCATCTGACTTTTTGGCCTCGCGACAATCCCTTCGCTTTAATATGACGAGCACAAAGAGAACTTTCAAAAATTTAACGGGAACTGTGTCATTTTCAATGACTACCCTCATGTATACTTCAAGTTTTCATTAAAACAAAGTCAAAGTTTTTGAAATTGCTTTTCTGTCTGTTCGCCAATCCATTGCTCCAAAACACATCTTTAAAACTCTTATTTTCCCAGCATCGAGATGGCTCTGCCAACTCTTGTACTCATTTTTAACAAGTAAAAAATCACAAAATAATTTTGTTTACCGAGTATTTTGCATGTGTACTATGTTTGCATTTGAAGTTTTTATGCTTTTAATGGGTGTATATGTTTTATTACGTACATGTACACTCACAAAAATACCCATCAAATATTAGTAATTTAGTATTTAACCTGGACAGAAGAAAACATTGTTTTCCTTTGCCATAATTATCCGATTCAGTGCCGAGTAATGGCCATTTTGTTTTAATGAACACTGTTCCAGAGCCATATCTCTGACATGTCTTGACCAATTGCTACCGATATACCTTTGGTCCATATTACTTTAATCTTTGGCATAAATAACATTTTCCCTTATTTAAACGGGGACTATGTCATTAAACAATGACTTGTTACCCCTATATGTTGACTACCAGTTTGTTGAGCAAAGCTTGTCATACATGTATATTAATTGTTCGTCGTTGTAGATACCAAACATTTTTGACTTCTTCCTGAACAGTGCAATCAGGAGATTGAAACTTGGTGTATATCCAGGGGTATATATATACATTGAGTGGACCTCTCTCAGATTCATTTTATGCAGATATCTTCAATTCTCTAGTTTTGATGAAGATTTTTATCCCTTTTTGGTAAAAAGTGATATTTTCGACTTCTTCTTGACAAGTTTGATTGCTTTGATAATTAGTATTTAGGTACCTTATGTTGACCTTTGTTAATTTCATGATGATATCTTAAAATCTCTAATTCTGATGAATATTTTTTCTCATTTATAGTAAAAATAGCTTGCCTGATTGTCTTGATATTTTATATGCACATACTTGGGTTTACCTCTCTCATTTTTTTGTTTTCATGATTATTTTAGTGTGTATATTTTGGTGAAAACATTTCTGAAGACCACCAGCCCATTTGTTTTCATATTTTATATTTAGGTAACTTTGATGGATCATTGTCAGATCACAGTTATATTATTTCATAAAGAACATTGTGATTAATACAGTTCATGTAATATTAATTGAGAAACACATTAGCTATTATTTTTCTTCAAAAATTCTGCATAGATATGTTACTATACTATTATTATTCAGGAACATGTATACAATTCATGTTATATTATTCTATGAGCGACATTGAGATTAGTACAGTACATGTAGTATTATTTGAGGAACATGAATATTAATGAATTATTTATGTGATTATGAAGACTTCATTGTTCTTGTTCATTTTTGTTAAAGGCCCAGGTATACTATAAATACGCTCCTAAACAATAGGGATTATTTCCTTGCTTGTCACGCTGTAGTAAACAGCTCCAGCTAAGCTCCGTTAAAGACATGTTTTCTCAAACTTACCGGTCGATTATGTTGTGCCAAAGTGGATGGATGTGACAATGAATATCACAGCAGTGACTGTGTGTAGTATTTATGACAATAAATAGTGTACGAGCTGAGATTTTGGCGAATATAAGTCAAAAACATGAACCGGGGAAAGGGACGCGCTACTCATCTCGAATAATTAACTACTGTCAATCAAAGTCACGTGATGTTGGACCGCTGAAACAGGATGCGTCATAGGCTATGCAAGTGATTAACAACACTCATTAGCATAGCCACACCTCCAATTCATGCTTGCCCAGGGCAAGTGAATTGGGCCTTTAAGTATTTAAACTTTAGCCAGTATTTTCCGTGCAATATAATAAGATATATTATTGCATTGTTTCATGACTTTAATTCTCACTTTTGCCATGCAGAGAAAAGATATTGCATCATATCCATACGTCCAATTGTTTAATCTACATTTTCAGTGAATAGGGAAGTATAAAATGTAGCATTTCTGCCATTACAGAACCTAGTCTCAGTTGTGTGTGGACGAATTTTGTTCAAGCATGGTACAGTACAAACATCAGAAATTATGGGACGTTGATGCAAGTCATTATGTTATATAGATTAGATTCAAATAATTCTTGGCTGCCTGGTGGCCATTTTGTTTTAACAAATTTGATTCCAGATCTACTGTAAAATCTGTATTAGAAGCCGCGGCTTCTATTAAAATGGTACAATGCAACAGAGGGGATGCGGCTTCTATTAGAGCATGTACACATATGAGAAATGATGAATTTTTTATTCTAAATTATTCAAAAAGAATGGGTGCGACTTCTATTAGGGATGAGGCTTCTAATACAGATTTTACGGTATATCTCCAACATTCCCTGACCTAACATTTTCAAAAGCTTTTCTGTAAATGTTAACTATCCTTGTAGCAGTTCTCAAGTGTAAGCCAATATGTAAACAATTATTTTAGCCTCACAACTTTCACATATATAGCAGCAATGATGACAATGTAATGAAGTGAATACTAACCATAAATGTTTTTGTTATCTTTCTCCAGCTATGTTGTCATCGTTTATTATTCCACTACTGGCAGCATGTAGTTGTTGTGGTTTCTCCTGGGTGATTACATATTTTGACTCTTTACAACCAGGCCAGTGTCCACCCACTCCAATGTCACCCAAACAATATCGGTATGTCACAGTGTAATATTTGTATTACTTTCTTTGCATGTAGTTTTGTACTGTGAGGTTCCTCTGCTTACTTTTAGTTTTGTATATTATTTGTTTTATTTCTATATTTTCTTCTACTGTAAGATGCAGTTTTATTTCTCTTGGATATTTTTTATGAAACACACATCTATTTCAGTTTTTTAACAAATATACTTACTGTGCATGAACTTTAATTATGTTTGCTTCCTTATGTGTTCATTCTGTGTACTCTCATGTTTACATGTCAAAATAAAAATGTTTTTCTTTGTGTACATCTTGTTTGTGTCACTTTTCTGTAAATTTTCTAGTTGACACATTACTAACTGTGAGGGTATTATTTAAATACACAATATTTTGCTATATAATTATGTATAAACCAAATATTGTATTTATCATATTCTTTAAAATATGATTGGTAAATAAACTCAGTACGGGAATTTGTTGTACCAGCTAATTACACCTCTATCATCCATACTTATTTATTCCTTGGTCACAAATATAAAACTGAAGAAAATCTCGGGCCACACATTTTCGTTTGTGCCTCAACTCACCAGAATAGTCACCCACATTTTTTTTTCTTGAAGACAAACCTCTCAAGCAGTCAATAAGCTGATGCAACTTGCATTTAAACTACATTTTGACAAAATCAGTTGTGTCTAAAGCCAAGGTGTAAATGTTAATTTTACTGTGGTAGAATATGTATGATTACATACATTACCTAGACCATGATGTACCTTAGTTGAAATAATTGATAAAGACAAGGACAGTATTTGAATCTTACTGGTGGTTTGTCAAAAGGAAACTACTGTCACCTCTCACAAAATAAGCCTACATATTTGTTTCCATACTAATAAATATTTATAAAGAGATTGATAAAAAATGATGTAATTCTTTATGTACAAAGAGGTATAATTATATTAGTACATAAAGAATAACATTAAAAATACAGTTGTACACTGTAAGAATTCCTATATTATAGTAAAATTACACAATTGCTTCATTGACGTCATTTGAAAAAAAAGATAGTAGATACACTTTATTTTTTTTAAACAAATAATTTTGTTTTTATTACAAAAGGCACCGCTGGGATTCGAACCCAGGATCTCCTGTTTACTAGACAGGCGCTTTAACCAACTAAGCCACGGCGCCAGCTAGCAACAGGTGGCCTAACTTTGATGTGAGATTCACATGTGCAAATTATTGACTGACTCATTGACAGTTCAGTTTACAGCCCATTATGTGTGTGAAGTACACAGACAAATATATACGCTATTGCTTTGTGGGAATATACCGGTAGTTGGCATTGCAGTTCTGTGGAAAATTTAGTGGTTCCTCTGACCTTATTCTGTCACCTTAGGTTACTGATTAACACATTGAAACCATAGTACTACCAGTGTCAACACAGTCCTGTACTTTGCTCTCTATAAATCATTCCAACCTTATACATAAAGTTGCTGTAATCTGATTTTAATACCAAGGTCATGTTAGGTCAGTCAGGAACACCACACTGTCATTTTCACTTTTTCAAATATTTTGAGACCTGCAGACAATTATGCTAAAATTTTGGAAAATACACAAAAATTGTGTTGACAAATATACACAAGTTGCAATTGTCCTCACAAGGGTGCTGTCCAACATCTCCATTTATTTTTTTGTTTATTTCTCACAGGTTAGAATCTGGTCACACATTTCACATAAACTACATGATGGCCATAGCTAATGGTGTTGCAGTGTTCTGCTTGACAATGTGGTACCTACCATGATACTACTGCATGACAACCACCTACTGATATGCGAGAAGATGGTACTCGAATGATGATCAATGTATACTAAAGAATTCTTAGCATGAAATGATCGACTGCAAAATGCATTGAAAGCAGCAATATGTGCCTTGAATCTGTGAGCATTATAGCTGACATGTTTACCTTGCCCGTACCATCAAAGATGGAAGGGAGAGGTATATTAAGGGAAAGATTTTGTCCGGCGTTGTCGTCGTCGTCGTCGTCGTTAATAATTGTTATTGTGTGCATAACTTTACTAATTCTATTCCAAACTTCATCAAACTTAGTCACCTTGTTCATCAGTATAAAGTCTTCCCTGAGTTTGAACAACAGATGTCCTGTATGAAAATATCATGCAAAAATTGAGAAAAACTGATAAAATATTTCGACTGTTTCTACTTGACTGATCACTGGTGATACACATCAAAGGTCACTGATCTCAGTGGAAATATGCATTGTTGTATGTGTTCAATGAAGCAAATGATTTATCTTGTAATAATATCCTTGGTAATGTATCTCAGAATCCCTTACTGGGTTTCAAAACCAACTCATGGAGAGATTGCACAATCTGATACACATTTGCAAACCTACCAATAAATCTTTACAGAAAACAAGATGTCAGAAAATCAATATAAGCACTGCTATGAACTGGGTGCCAA